TTCCCATACAAATTTCTCCATTTGAATTTTGTCCAACCATGGCTAGAGCTGCATTGCCAAAACTTGGTGAAAAGGAAGCATCCACATTAACCTTAAGGGTTCCTTGTGGAGGTTTTGACCATCCAGATAGCTGTTGTTTACCATTTGTCCTTGATCTAGTCGGGGAAATTAATAAATCCTTGGTCGACGATGATAAAACTTCATTGCACATAACAGTAACTCGGGAAAGGACTTGATGGGGGGAGATATCAACATGCTCAAAGAGATTGTCGTTCCTTGCCTTCCATATCTACTAGCAAATAATTGCACAATGCTCAACAAGGAAAGGACTATGCAAGTGTTTAGCAGCATTCTTAATGTATCTCCACCATTCAACAAAGGAGTTTACCCCCAGCTGCCGAGGGTCGAGACCCACAATGGAACCAAACCATATTGGTTCAACATGAGGGCAATACAATAATAGATGCATTAAATTTTCATCATGTATGCGACAATTTGGACATAGTGTCTCTTGTACAATTCCCCTTTTCACCAAGTTATCCAAAGATGGCAAAGAATTAAGTATGGCTCCCCACAAGAAGACACGAATCTTGGGAGGTACTTTCATTTTCCATAGGGGTTTACATTCAGCTACAGTGAGGATTGTGTTATCAGTAAACACTCCCATTTCATGAACAGCATTAAGGGCAAGTAGGTAGGCACTTTTAACAGAGAATCTTCCATATTTATCAAAGTGCCATACTATAGAATCAGAGCAATTACTAGTAGGAATTTTAAGAATTTCCCTACTTTCTTCAGAGGTAAAACATGCATTTAATTTATTAACATCCCACTCCCCATAGTCATCAAATAAGTCACAGACATGAGCATATAGTGAAGTGTTTCGGGGGATGTTACCTTAAAACCAGGAAAGGTAGGGATCCAGTTGTCTTGATAGATTAGGATATTCTGACCATTACCGACGTTCCATCTTACTCTAAGTTGGACAATATATCTTCCTTTCAAAATGCTTGTCCATGCCCAAGAAGGATGACTCCCTTTCCGGGCTTCCATAAAGGAAGCATTTGGATAATATAAGCTTTTTAGGACTCGAACCCATAAAGCATTCAGATTATTCATAATTCTCCATGCTTGCGGAGCCAACATAGCAAGATTAAAGCAATAAAGGTCCTTAAAGCCCATACCTCCCATATGTTTACTTTTGGAAAGCTTCTCCCAGCTAACCCAACATACTTTCCTTTCGTCCTTCTACTGTCCCCACCAAAAATCTTTAATACTTCGATTTATGTCCCGACAAGTTCCTATGGGTAGTAAAAAATAAGACATAGTAAAAGTAGGGATTGCCATAGTAACAACTTTAATTAACACTTCTCGTCCTGCTTGTGCTAATAAGTTCTTTTTCCAATGATTGAGTTTCATGTGAATTTTATCCACCGTATATTTGAAGCTATCTTTTTTAGATTTTCCCCATGATGTTGGTAGGCCAAGATGCTTAGATACAGCAGCTTCCTTATGAATTCCAAGTTGATTACAAATTGATTCTCTAACCTCAATGGGGGTATTAAGGCTAAAAATGGCTCCAGACTTGGAGAAATTAATTTGCTGTCCAGAGATATCCCCATAGATTTTCAAGATAGTTTGTAAATGAGTCAGCTTTTCCAATGTGGCTCTACAGAAAATCAGGGAATCATCTACGAAGAGAAGATGGCTTATTATAGGGCTTCTTCTTCTTATTTTATATCCAGAAATCTTCTTTTCAACTATTGCTGTCATCATTAAGCAAGATAAGATATCAGCAATGAAAAGATATAAATATGGTGATAACGGATCTCCCTATCGAAGTCCTCTTTGGGGGACAAAGAAAGGAGTTTGAGAGTCGTTGATTCCCATCGTATATGAAACCATGGAAACACATTGCATAACCATATGAATCCATTTATCACAGAAGCCATGAGCCCTCAAGACATTTTCCAAGCAATTCCATTCAACACTATCATAGGCTTTTCTAATATCTAACTTCAAGGCCACAATTCCATACTTACCACTTTTCCTTAGTCGTAATCCATGAAAAGCTTCATGTGCAATGAGGATGTTATCCTGGATTGTCCTGCCAGGAATAAAGGCAGACTGAAAAAGAGAAATAAGGTTATCTAAATAACTCTTCAATCGGTTTGCAAGAATCTTGGCAATAATTTTATAAGAGAAATTGCATATAGAAATGGGACGGAATTGTGAGATCACCTCGGGATTCTTGACCTTGGGAATAAGAGTGATCCTGGTTTTGTTCATCTCCCGCGGAATAAAGTCATGTTCGAAGAAGTGTTTAATTGCTTTGCAGATATCTGTTCCCACTGTATCCCAATGCTGTTGAAAAAAGCAGCCTGGAAAACCATCAACCCCAAGGGCTTTAAAGGCACCAATTTGAAAAACTACCCCTCAGATTTCATCATCAAGGACTAGACAACATAATTTGTCATTCATTTATGCAGTAATTGATGCTCTGATAAGCCCACTTATCTGATCAAAATTAACAACTTGCCGAGAAGTATAAGCTTTTTGAAAATGGGCATAAGCATGTGCAGTAAGTGCTTCATTACCTTCCATTACCATCCCCTGCTCATCCTTCAACTAGAATATATAATTATGTTGCCTCTAGTTGGATGCCATTGCATGAAAAAATTTAGTGTTTCTATCCCCAAATTGTATCCAGTTCGTGCGAGCTCTTTGATACCAATATGTCTCTTCCTGCTTCCATAGGGAATTGATTCTTTTGATAAGTATCTGTTGTCTGAAAGTATTTTCGTCAGATTGTTCTTCTAATTGTAGACTTGCCAGTTCCTATTGTAGGTACTTCACCTCTTGACTTAAGTTTCTTGTAGCTTTACACCAGTTTTGCAGATGTTGTCTACAATGAGTGAGCTTTGAAGCCATACAGAACAATGGGGAACCACCGCTATCTGTTGTCTAGCCCTGGGATATAGCACCTGCATATCTGTCTTGCAACTGCCATTTCAACTCATATCGAAATAGCTTCTTAGGGTAGGTAGGGATGGCTTTTAAGCATACAAGAAGTGGGTAGTGATCTGACCCTATTCTTATACAGTGAAACAACTGAGCAGTTGGAAACATTTGGCTCCAATAATCATCCATTAAGGCTCGATCAATCCTTTCATTAATGCTGCCTCTAGTCCAGGTATATTTAGGTCCCTTATATGCAATTTCCTAGAGTGAACATGAGCTCCTTAACTCATCAAGGATTCTTCTGTCATTCATTAACGAAGGGCATTTACCCCTTTTATCATAGCCATCTCCCACTAAATTTAGGTCTCCCATCAGCAGCCATGGAATAGAAGCAGGCCGACTTAAATTCATCACTTTGTTCCACATGTTGCTGTGTAATCAGGCATTTGGCTTTCCATATACAAAGGAAAAATGCCATGAGTTAGTATAACTCACATCCGAGTAGCATCCATCAAACATATTTTTGTCAAGAAAGAAAATTGATATGTTAATATCCTCGGTCCACCACAAAGCTAGAGCCCCCGAATAGCCTTGTGGATCCATATAAGCATATTTTGAGAATGCCAATTTCCTCCTTACCCACTCCGAGTATGTCCTATGTTTCTTAGTCTCCATCAAAAAAACCAAGCGAGGGTGATGCTTAAAGATGAGGTCTTTGAGCGCCCTTATCGTCATGGCTTGTCCAAGGCCCTAACAATTCCATGACAGAATATTCATATCGGTGGGGTGGCTGTCACGGACCAGCCCCCTTTGCCCCATTATCATCATCAACAGAAGAGTGCTCAGTTAAATTTGATGAAGAGCCGTTGACATAGATAAGAGGGGTACCTGGAGTGTGAGTAATTACAAGGATAAACGGAGTAAAATGGGTTCTTTGAAGATCGTTGGGTTGGGTGGAACGAGTTGCTCAGAGTAAACCGAGGATCTGCTTGGAAACACACTTGCCTATTCAAAGCCTTTGCACGGATACTTCTTTTTACTTTCTGGACTGCAATAGTTTCCTCCACATCTATGAAAAATCCTTGTTGGTCTTGGTTGTGAAATTCAGATCTTCCCACAGTAAGGGCCTTCTGCAATAGGTCGGGTGAGCATTTTAATCCAACAACACCTTTGTTTCTTAAATAGACCCTTTTAAAAATTTCTTCAAAAGGCCCAATTTCTCTTTTGCGTTTCTGCCTCTCGTTGGGTATACTTCCTAGTGACAATTGGGCATCTACCTGTGCAGATAATGAGCCCATTTTAGAGCCCACTTCAGTGCTTTGAGGTCTCTGTTCAAGTTCTGCATACTGTAAGGTCGGTTGGTGAGAACTATGTAGAGCCTTAGTGGGCAAGAAAAATTTGATTCAATCACCATCGCATTTAATGGTGGTGGCGCTTGGATCAATATGACAGAAGGTGATGAAGGTTCTGAGTTTGTGTTGTGGCCGGTAATCATGTCTTTAGAGGATTTGAGATCACCTTCATTTAATGCTTCAGTTGTCAAAGAGAGGATATGATCATTCACACACGCACCTGCACCTTGTGTAGTACACGTCATCTTGAAGTGGTCTGCATCATTCAACCCTTTTTCCTATTCGTGTACCCACTACTCTTGGTGTCGGGAATTCTGTGTGTGGCTGGTGATGCTTATTCTCTTCTCGAATTGAACCCAAATGTCATCTTTGCAAGTAAGGTGGTGCTCTCATTTGAAGTCCATATCGTGGCCTGGGTTGGGTTTAATAATTCCCATCATCATCCTTCCATCTAAAATCATTATAGGATTTTTTTGGTATGACCCAGCATACCATAGTGATAACAAAAATCAACGAGTCTTTCATATTTAAAATCTGCAACCCGTACTTCCTCGCCATGTTTACATTGGAAGCTTGCTAAGAGTGGAGCATGAACATTAATTTCAACTCTTAGGCGCAAAAAGCTTTCCAACCCGCCTAAAGTGGAATTATCCCATGTTATCAGGCGAGGGAAGAGTGAGCCTATAAGCTGTATATTTTCCAGAGACATGCAGCCTTTGGGTAGCCCATGAATTTGAACCCAAAATTCTCAATTTGAGAAAGCAATTTCATCAAAATGTTGTGATTCGGGCCAGTCTTTAAGAACAATATGGGACCCTTTCACAAACCATGGAGACTCATGAATAATGCGATCTTTTTCATTCTTATCTGAGAGGATGAAAATATAAGTGTTTTTTGATTGCTCATGCACTTCCAGACCACCTTTTGGTCTCCATGCACTCTTCAAAATGCTGTACAAAACACCGCTTTGAATTTCTTCCTCATCTGCAATTAAATGCCCAGCAAAAGAGAAACAGTGTAACTCCCTGTGATTTGATTCATTTTGAACAAGATGCAAAAGCAGGGTGTCACACCAACGGTGTCACTCCCCGTTGGTGCTTCTCTTCCAACAGCTGATTTGTTAACTTCCATTGTGGGTACAGATGATTCTGAATTCTGCTTGTGTTCTGCAACAAACCAGTAACCTATGCCACTACCAAGATTGGAGAAAGGGGGAGAAAGAGAACCTGAAGGTGATACCTCAGGATGAGCCAATGGGAAACCCTAGAGAGCAAAGCTCCTAGAACTGGGTCCAACCATGTTGTTCCCTCTTTGAAATTCCTCAAATTATATTGTTAAAGAGCTACAACTCTTAAGTTTTTAGGTGTGGGGCTAACAACCATAAAACCAAATTTCAAGGTTAAATAGGGGGTTTAGCCAATATTGGTTATTGTACATTTATTATTATTATTATTTACTTGTAAAAAACATGATTAGTAAGTTAGTATCTATTTGAGTACCAGTTGAGAAGTCAATCTGATAATCATATGTTGCACTTCACCTTACTTCTCACAAGGAGAAACGTGATTACTTGGACCACATGACGGAGTGCTTATTGTACATTTATTCTTAATTGTTAATGAGTTGTTGGTTTACTATAAAAAAATAATATAATTATGTGACATTATAATTTAGAAATAGTGCCTATCAGCTTTACCTCCTAAAAATTAGGAAGAAAATCATCCCAAAATTACATCGTTTCAATAAATTTTTATTGAAAAAGACTAAACTACCTTATTTTTAAAACATGCATTAAGGTGATTTTTATCTTTTTTCTTCTTAATTTTTTGGAGGTAAAGCGGATAAACACTAACCCCTTATAATTTTATTATTATGATATATAATTATGTGACATTATAATTTTATTATTATGATATACGATTATCTCTTTTTATTTAAAAATTCATTTATAATATATATTTAACTCATTTAATAATATGTTATGAATATAAATTTACAATTTTACATATAATATTGTAATTATATTATTACTAATTTACTATTGATTACCAATTTCTTACATATTAAAAAAATATCTTGCAGTTAGAATTACTCTCTACTTGTAATCTTGCAAGACGATAATTGTAATGGAACTCATTTTAGATTTTACAATCCCTGTGAATCAGTATGGATTCAATTGATTAATGTTACATGACACTCATTGTAAAATAAAATTGTGGATGGATCAACCTTAAAACAAAATAAGAAGGCCTCCAATTGAATCCCAGCACCATCTTTTCCAAATAAATATTTGTCAACTCAAAGAAACAAGAGTAGGGCGTCTTCGTGCATTATCTATCCTACACGTTCCTTTCAGCGACCAAAATCCACATAACCAAATGAAATGATATCAGGATTTCGGGTGCGGAAGAGTGTTGATAATTAGTTGTGTCTAGAAACACCCCGATTATTTACAACAAATTGTACGTTTAGTATTTTGTTTTTTTTTAAATAGACAATGATTGTATCTTTAATTTGAGAGAAAAGAAAAAGAGAAGAGGTGATAATTAATTCTGTGGTTAGAAACACCCATATGTTTTACAAGATATCCTTCCATTCCCTCCCTTCACTCTTCTCATTTGGATGAGTAAAAAAAAATTTGAAAAAAATGTAAATAAGCCACCTCTGCACCCCCCCTCCCTCCCCAAAAATTATTTTAATCAAATAGAAGATTTTGTCTTTTTTATCCCTCCCCTCAAACCAAACAGATTATTAGTGTCTAAGCAAAGCAGTATAAGCTCGCTTGATGAAACTTCGTTGTTCCGCTCACATGGTTGACAAGGCCTTGGGTGTGTGAGAAAAATAATCAAATACAGAACTTAGTTACTCTGATAGCCAAAATTCCTTTCATGTTAAAACTCCAAAACAATCAACATAACATGTTCTTCCAGGGTAAGGGTTCAGCAGCAAAGAAATCAAAGAGAAATAGTTGAAATTCCAACCATGCAGAAAGGAAAGCAGAAGCCATTACAAGATATTGCGATGCCTAGCTGGAAAAAGAAGATGAACCAATAGAAAAGAACGCCACCAAAAGATAAAAAAAGAGTATACAAAAGATTCCTATAGGATTTAAAAGCTATGATCTTTCTACTTTATGTGACTACTTTTACTTCCAATTCAAGGCCAAAAGCAACTGTGGCATATTCATGATAAAATCTCACCAACAATAGAAAATGAAACTGGGTAGCACAAGCAAAATGGAAGTGGGGTTTAGTGGACCTTACCACTCAATCCTCATTCTCTGCTTTCTTTCTAGATTTCATTTTATGAGAATGCTCTGAGGACCCAGAAATGGTAATCTCACTATGACTTCCTTTAGACTTGTCCATGGATCCAATGGACTCATCAGTATGTCTTCTTCTCGTAGATTTGGGATGCTCAAGACCTCCAGATAATGCACTCTTCTGTCTGCTACTATGTGTGCTAACTGTTCGTCCAAACCCAGAAGTTGACTTTCTCTTACTTTGCGAGGGAGTAAACTGGGAAGAATTTGCAAATAAAGTTCCAGAGGATTTCTGATACATTAGTCTCTTATTGTCAGCAATAAGTTTTTCATAATCTTCAGGCCCCATGTAGTGGACAAGGGAGACTCTTCGTGAAATCTTACCAACTAAGAACAAAGAAATTCATATCAAGGTATGGATCCATGCAACTGGATTCAAATATTTCAGTTATAAAAACTACAACTGCCAGAACACTGATAATGATGATAAAAGTGATTATCAAATTTAAATGAGTGCAAGATTAGTCCAGAAAAATCCTAATCCTAATACAAAAGAGAGCATGCAAAATAAATACACAAAAGAAGTGATACAAACACAACGTTTAGCAGATATTCAAAGACCAGAAGCCATCGTTCACATGATTAGGCATTGGTTGATTGGCAAACAAATAAATAAAATTTAAGGTACAGATGCAAAAATAAATAAAAAGTGAAAAGAAGGTAAACATGAATACTTCTAAATATAAAGCCTTTAGTTGTGAAGTAAGATAGAACATTAGAATTTGTAAAGGAAGTTAAACCCATATAAATTGCTACAAAGCAGGTGTTTAGATACAAATAAGAAGATAAAAATGGACAAATAAATTCAGGTGTGTTCAAACAGGCAGATATGCATTATCCAATTTCACCAGATGCTCATTTTATTTGTTCCCTTTGGTAGTCCATTGGCACAAAAATTGAAGGAAAATGACATAGATCAAACTAAGGGATATGTGACCCAAAACCAACCCACATGAATTCAAGTTTTGGTTGGGTAGTCTAGGCCAACTCTGACCAATTGTTGTCCCCCTTTCTCCCCCTCCACCCCAAAAGAGAGATGAAAAGAAAAAAGAAAAAAAAGAAAGACTACTAAGAAATGAAAATAAAAGAACAGAACATGGTATCGTGTGAAACAAAAAACAGTATCTAGCGTAACAAGGTACCATCAACCAAGTGATTGAGATACAAATACAAAAGCCCATGTTGCATACTTTTGTAGGTTAAACTGGTAACAAAAAGGATTCATGCAAAAATTACAAGGCACAGCAAAGAAATAAAGAGGCACGTTTAAATGTAATACCAGTTTTTGACTCTGATACTGAGGATAGAAAAACTGTTGCATCCGGCTCATTAGCTGCACAAGTCAGCATATCATATTCCTTTCCTGCCCATTTAAGTACACTCTAGATCAAACTATTGCTTAAGGACACATCTTAATGCCAACTAAAATCATTCTACTATTGGACATCATTAACTTTGCCCAGCATGAAATTGATAGTCAATATCAAAAAGCCTTTATCTTGCAAAATGGAATTATAGTTACCATTAGAATCCTTGACAGTACCCAAGTTCCCATTGCGACGGAGCTCTAGAGATAGCTCTTGCCCATCAATTTCAGGATGCTGAAAACCCATAAAACAACCAGTAAATTAAAGTCCTAGCCCAGTTCCATACTGAACACCAATAGCACCAAGAATTGTGGGAAAAAATAAAATAAATTTCCAGCAGTAAGCTTTTGTTTAATTCATTTACTTTAACCATAATTCCATAACTTAGTTCATCAGCCTAATCAGCCATGATAATTTTCAATTGATCCCACCAAGTAATTATACTTCAAAAAAAGAGTAGCATTCCTTGAAATATAGTCAGAAACAAACATGGCTCAAAGAAATTGCGAGTAACTCATACCTGATGATAAGGCCACTGGATGAGCCAAAGCTCCGTGGAGTCCTTGGAAGTAATATCGGCGAGCAGTTCCCGAGCATCGGCATCAAATTCTGGTGGAATTGTGTAACCATCTCCATTAACAGTACCCATTTTCTCTCGCAACCACACAAACTGAATGCACAGAATAAAAAAAGAAAAGAAAAGCAATCAACACAAAAATTCAAAGCGGTCAGTACTTTACTTGGAAGATGAAAAACACAGATGCTACAACCAATAATATCATTGCAATACCGTCAAGGGATAGAATGTTGACCGGCGACGACTGAAACCTCGACGTCAACAGGAAATAATATAAACCGACGAGGTTTTTACTGAAACAACAGAAACCCTACTCGTCTGAAGTCGCGGGATGCGGGTAGGGAGAAAGAAGAGATGTAGTTGCGAACCCTAACAAATGGGCCAACTTTATTGGATTTAGATTTTCCTTGGGCCATAGTTGTTTGGTCTTTTGGGCTTGTTATCTAATGCCCTGTAAATAAGGCTAAGCATTTTTAGGTAAAGTCAAATATGAAATATATTTGTCACTTGATTTGAAAATTTTTTTAATATAATTTTTTAGGCTTGGCACTTGCTCAAATATTTGAAAACCTATACTTGATACTCAATCTAATAAGTATCAGGTAAGTTATAGGTATATAATTATATATTTGTTAAATGATATTTTGTTTAAATTTTTTTTTGAAATTAAAATTTAATAAAATATCATTTACTTTTAATCTACACTTAAATAAAACTTATAAAATTTTAATAAAATATTATTTATTACAATCTAAATTTAAATATAATCTAAAATAATAATAGAGAACTAAAATTTAATTTCATATTCAGAACTCAAACTCATATACTATTAAAAAATTAAACTCAGTAAAATAATTAACAACAAAGAATGAAAAATATGTACCAAAAAATAATGAATGAAAATAACTTAAATAACAAAATAAAAGTGCTTCAAGGAAGATATTCATCTTTTTGGGTTCACAATCCCCTTAATCCTCTCCTTTGGTTTGTTAGAAAGGGATAATTGCCGATGATATTGTATCTATTTTAACACCTTGATGTTCATGTTTTTTATTTACAATTTTTATCATGTTAAATTTGGAGTTTGAAACTAAAAAATTATTTATACAATAAACAAACACTATAACTTGAAAATCATTAATAGAAAAATAAAAAGAAAATTAAAAATGATCAAACTTTGAAGTTATACGTACTTATCGTTGCCTCAGAGTGCAAGGAAAGGCACCTGGCCTTATTGGCCGAGTAACTTGTAACTAGATTTAAAGGTGCACTTCCACTAGTAAGATGCTTGTTCAAATCCTCCTATGTCTCGAAATTGGAACTTGCTCAAAAAAAAAAAAAAAGTGTAAGAATGGGAAAAAGTTGTTGGCTGTTTGTGTAATATGTATTTGATTTATAATTTATTATTTATAAGCTGTGTATGATTTTTTTTTTTGTATTTTATTATTTTTATCTTTAAAAATTATTATTATTATGTAGATATTAAGTATAATAAGTATATATAAAATTTCAGTTATACAAATATAGGTAATATGACAGTTAAATAAAAAATTAAA